AATCTGACGTGACATGTTCGTACGAACCCTTTGTACGAACAAAAGTAAGAGAAATTTAGGATAAGAATACGAACATGTTCTTGCGTGAGGCCCAATCAGAGCAGACCACTTCCTATCAGGTCATTCAAAATGGACTAATCTGAACAGCTTTTACGTGACAGTACCGTATGGATTCCTACTTCGTATTACAAGCACCTATTTTGTTGAATTTTTTGTGTGAGCATTGATATTATAATATCAAATGATTTCATACAAACAGTTATGCAGCTGTAGCTAAAATGACGCACAAAGTCATCCACAAGCTGCGACGCTGATGGTTCCAACCCCAGCTCCTCGTGTTTGGGTCATACAGAGGCTTTGGGTTGAACACAAAAAGACACAAAGTTCAAGGTGCAATGAGAATTAATAAAAAAAAAACTGATTGATCAACAAATATCAGAGCATGATTTTAACAGCACAGTGAAGTCTGTCAAACAGTGCTGTTGTCATGTGGGAGCTTAAAAGTGCATCAGTTCCAAAAAAAAAAAAGAAAAAGAAAGGTGTATGACCCGTAGTTTACAAAATGAGACAGTTCACAGACACGCTCTCAGGCGTATCGAGGGTCTGCATCAATCAGAGACAACTGCTGGAGGTAGGATGGCGTCTGGCAGTAAGGCGCTCGAGGCGCGTCGATAAAGATCGTACAGGAGGTTAGGCTTTTGCGGTCTTTCTTCACGGTGTGTCTCCTCTGCCAGCGGCAGAGCAAAACCTCCACCTGCTCTCTGAAGAAGCTGGTGGTCAGCGTGTACAGGATGGGGTTCAAGGCACTGTTGATGGGGAGGATGAAAATGACGACCCAGCTGGAGATGGTGCCTGAAAAAAAGTCGACAAACGGGGAATGATGACGCGACTTGGAAGGAGGATGACGAGATTCTAAAAGGCCTGATTCGGGTTTCTTACCAGGGATTTCCACTTCCAGAAGTGAGAGGACTTTAACTAAGAATATAGGGATCCAGCAGAGGGCGTCAGAGAACACGATGAAGAAAAACCTGTTGGCCACGGCCACGTCTCTGTGCAGCCTGCTCCTCACGTCTGTGGCGTTCAGTCCTGTCTTATAGATGGAGCAAAACATGCTGGAGTAGGAGAAGACGATCACCAGGAACGCCACCAGGTTCAGACCTAAAAAACAGATAGGCACGTACTCAGATGTTTCACTTTGTCAAAAGAATGACAAGTATCAAAATGAAAGGGTATACCCTTTTATTTCTCATGCTGTTCAAYTCAATTCAAAAATACTTTATTGATCCCAGAGGGAAATTAGGTACATTCAGGTATTACACATGTGCATAACCCAGACCTTGCTTGAATACTTACATACTCCGCCTTCGTTTTTGTCTTTAATGTAGTCAAAGATAAAGTACAAACTGCAATAATTCAGAGTTTAAAGCTTTGATTTCAGAAACGCTGGCATCCCTTAAGATAGAATTTCAAGATTGTTCAGTTTTGTTTTGTTTGTTTACACTGGAGCTCAGACAGAACGCAGGGTAACAAGAACAGGGGCGCCAGCAGGTGGTGG